AAGCGCGGGCAATATGCCGGGGGAACACAGCCTGCAGCAGTGCTGGCCACTAGGCCCAACTCAGGAGGGATGTCAGGAGGGAGGAAGGTGGCTGGAGGACAGCTGAACCTCGGCTCCGAGTCCACCCCGCCTCATCTAAACACGGCAATCTCCATACGCCTGCATAGGCCCTCAGGACAGTGAGGTCACTGCAGGGTAGACCAGCAGTCTCATTAGGCAATTCTGGTCGTCGGACCAGAGCGAAGCTCTGAAACATCAGCTTCCTGATAATCCACCCCACCAGTCCAGGCCTCACAGAGGCAGGGCCATGGGAGGGAACACTGCAGGAGGGGCCCGAGACTGGGGGACCCAGACCATGGGTCCAGCCGTCCGGGCTCCACTCCAGTGGCAGCTAGAGGGAATGGAAGCTTCTTGAACATCCACCTCATGATAATCAATCTCTACCAGCCCAGGCCGCACAGAGTCGGGGCCACAGGAGGAACATTGCTGCCATCATCACCATAATAGCCTGAGGCATGAGAAGGAGAAGAGCTCTCTGTGTCCCCAGCCTGCCTGCAGCTGTTGCGTCTGCTCTATCCTTAGAGATCGATCGGGCAGAGAGCGAAACCTGAGATTGGAGGCGCTGTGGCTGCATGACATCAACTTGAGGCACGCTCACTAGACGGGACCTCAGGAAGGGCTAATTCCTGCACCCTCTATGCTCCAATCAAGAGCTGAAGGGACCCATCTGGCCCGACACTGTGCCTGGGGACAAGCAGGCGGAAGCCCAGGGACAGGTGGATGACATCGGAGGAGAGGATGGAAGCTTCTTCAACATCCACCACCTGATAGTCAACCTCCACCGGCCCAGCCCTCAGCAAGGTGAGCCCATGGGAGGGACGCTGTGGGAGGGGCCAGCAGTGAATTAAAAACCAGGAGGGGACCCATCCATGGCCATGGCCCATGGCCTGCCTATCTGGTCTCCACTCCAGTGGCAGCAATTTTCCCCACAGTAGCCTGAGGCATGAGCTTAAATGAGAAGACACCATTTCCCGTTTGTCACTTTGCAACACTGTCAATAAACCTCACTCACATCTCCACCGCTGTCTGCATCTTGGGTCCTCATTCACTCCACCACACGACTGCTGCCCCAGCCATGACACTCTAGTCTGAGCTGGCAAATAAGCAGTTTATGCAACGTGAGGCTGGCAAAGCATGCTCTGTGCACAGGCACAGCATAACCTGCACGTGCTCATCTCCTAATGCACAGAATGCCACTCTCCAGACAAGTTTGGGACGTGTGGGCTGCCATAGTGCTTGACAAAGCAAGGGGGCGGGGCCAAACACTAACCAGGAAGTGGCTAACAGGTAGCCAACACGAGCTGCAACCTAAATTCCCCTTTTTCTGTTTATTTGCCCTCTGTTTACAACGCGTAAGGTGAAAGCGAATGGTTGGAACACTGACTATGTTCTCACTGTTTGCCGTGCTACAAGTGGAGTCCTGCTGGCTGCGTTAACTCGCGAGGCTAATAGGCTGGAGAATGCTGACTCCCTGGCCGGCACACCGGGAGGTCCCAGTGGAGTGTAAGCCTGCGAATGTGGGCAACATAGTTATTTTTGCAGCTGTTTTTTTGGCATATTCATTTGTAAAATTTTCACTTTCAGGGAAAAAAAAACAAAAACCCTTTGTTGCACAAGAACCTGTGTACAGCGTGGCCACCAGCTAGTCTTTTATTGCTTATAGCAATTGCTCATACTCATGCTGCCCCGATGTCATGACAGCGCATATTGGGAATTGCATAGTCACCAATCGGTTTTCTATCGCCCATTTGCTGGGAGTAAGGGTGCCCTCCGTTTGCGAGGTGCGCCTGCGGCGGGGAGATTCTCTGGCGGGCTGGAGCAGCATCTAATAACCAACTCGCAAAATAAAACAAAATAAAAACAAAACAACAAACACGAAAACACCAGACATCATAATACAGACTTATAATTTGCACCGATGTTATTTTCGAAATTCTGTACGCAAAAAGTGAGCGCGAGAGCCCTCGGTACGCCTGCTTGCTGCTGAAGTCAAAGTAAACTTTATTGTCATCTCCACTACATACAGTCCAGTATATAGAGAGACGAGAGAACGAGGCTCCAGTTACAGCAGGGCAAGTAAACAAACAATACATATAAGAAGAGTAAGAAATAAATATCCAAATTAGGACTAGGGGTAAAGGGATCAATAACAATTTTTAAAAATTCATAATTTACACTTTGATGATTTTAAGTCTCACACACAACCCGTTGAAAGGGAAGGGGGCCCTGCTGCTTCCAAGTAGAGCACATTTCATTCATAATGTTGTAAATCCAAGCCCATTATGTATTCATGATTTGAATCCTGGGTTTTCCGAAATCCCAGAAATACACCCTAGACAAAGTGAATCTGTGAACTAAGGTGTAGGTCTATTAGGTTATGTTGTGGTGATCCTCGAGTTGAGGGATGGGTGCTCATACTGGAGTGCAAAATTAAAACCAATGGAAGATGGACAAGAAAAGTTCAAAGCCATCATGTCTTCAGTTTAGAAAAAGGGAGTGTTCACCCAGGGTGCCAAATAGGCTAGGACCGCCACTGCCTATAATTAATTAAATAAATCTTATTTTCTTCTATTTATGTTATCTGACCCAGTGGAACTCATTTTTCCTGACTGCTAAGGGCTGACCTGAAGTAAAAATTAATTCATGATAATCTTAAATACAGCAAATACAATTACTAATGAACATTGATTATACAGAACTTTTAACGCACTTTGATCAGTTTATATAGCTCATAATCTCTAGGGAGCTTATATAAATTTATGTTCTTAATGCAAGAGAACAACTCCAAGAAGTAGATTGTATTCCAGCAATGTGATGTTCAGAGTTCAGCTGTGAGTGTAACAAGCTGTTAGTGAAAAGTCAAAATATATAAACAGGATATGACATATAATGGAAAATGCAGTTACAAGTAACATTTACATCATCTGAACCACTTTATTATACTGATTGTTTATAACATAAATAATCACTTAACCAAAGATAATTGATATTTTCATGCGTTTAACAGAGGTGGTTACACCCTCTCTCTCAACAGTGAGGTTCATCATCATCTGTGTCATTGTTTCTTTATCAAGCAAAATGTGCCCAGCAGGTGTCAATGTAGAGAGGGTACATATCAGTGCTAAGCAAATATCACTGTCATTTCTTCATTTGCCTCTCTCATATATATATTTCATTAAGTCTTAATTCAGTAAATGTGGGAGATTTGTGATGTTTAGTGTGGAGTGTATACTTAGTGTGTTGTGTTGTCTTGTGTAGTTGTTCTGTTGTGTAGTCGTTTTGTTTTGTTTGTCAGTGGGGGTAGTAATGAATGTCACAAAGGAACATTTGCAATGTAAACACTGTCATTAAGTAGAAAACCAGAGGAGTGATAAACCTCATGTTGTCAGGCCTGCAGGTTTATCCCTGTGCTGTTCTGTCTTTTGGTGGAATTTTTTATTTTTTTTTTACTGGCACACATAATTTGTGGAGCATCTTATTGCGAAACATGATTGTTCTCTCATTTTAGTTTTAGTAATATTATTAAATGGTTGTACAAAATGAAAAAATCGGCAGGTGTATTGGCTGCGTTTTTAGATAAATAGTTGTATATGTTTACAAAATGTAGAATTTATATTTGCATTTCAAGTTATAAAAATTTACTCAACATGTCTGTGGGTTTTTTTACAGTAAAAAAAATACTACTAGGATTTTAAGGTCTCTGTGTGATTTCAGATCAGTAATACTAATGCAATATGTCAGTGAAAAAAACAACTAAATTCAGTTGTGCTGAAAAGATACCAAACAAGGCAAGGGGAAAAATATAATGAAACAATTTGAGGGTGAAATACAAACGTAAACTCAAAAGGAGTAAAAAATGGCCGGTTGTATTTCAGACCTCAGTGGGTGAATCCAACAAATAATGAAAAATTAGGGTTACATCTTTGTTCATGATAGTGCAGATTTCTGATATTTTGTGTAATTTAAGCTGTAACAATGTGATTGTTTTCTAACAAAAAACAGTGAAAGTTAAGTTAGACTTGTGTTTGTAAATGATACGCCCCAAGTTGTGTAGCTTTCTGGATTTTATACTTATTGGGCTACATGTTTATTTATTATACAGACTATACAGTACATAACATCAAAACTCACATGTTTTATGTAACTAAAGTGTGTAATTATGTGGGCTACAGACAATAATTAAGTTATAGACTATATTTATATGAAAAACGTGTATACTTACTGCATTTGAATTATTTTAACCACATGTAATCACCTGCATATGTGTTTTAAAAAAAAGGCTTTGATTTTGCCGCCCCATTTGATCTCTTTTCCCCCTCATGCTACCCTAAGAAAATTTCTCTAGATCCGCCCCTGTTCTGCAGCGCTTGCCTGGGTCATTGTTTCTTCATCAAGCTGTGACAGAGCAAGGTCACCAAGTTTCACTGTTTAGAGGGTGTCGAATTATTTCGATACCTCAATACAATTCCAGCACAACTGCTTCAAACAGTTCAGTAAAAGGTAACAATCGCTCTCATTTCTTTAATCCGCTATCTCATACTTATATAACATTTATCCTACCGTATGATCATATTTCGTTACACTTTCGATTTTGGTGTTTAAGCGGAAACAAAACAAAAAAAACCCAAATTGGAAATCCTGGAGCCTCTCATGCATTAACGATGGCGTTAAAAGCACCAAAACCTTCATCAGCCAACATGATCTGGGTGCTTTGAACCACACTTCGGTGCATCTGGCTTCATAAACTCAACACGGCGTCGAAAGTTTAGTTTTGAACATCCCGTCTCAGTATCATATCATTCAGACATATTCTACACACTCGTACATACTGAATCAATATAAAAATAAGTTAGGAATAATAATGTGGAAGATATTATTTATACCCCCTCTTCTTCAAACCGAAAGGAAATATAAAGCGTTTTATAACAGATACATCTCACCTGCAGACGAAACACGAAGAGTCTGGTAGAGTGACGCAGTTACAGCAGATATTTCCGTGTTTTTACTTCCTGACTTCCTGACCTGATGTTGTAGCTGCCCGACAATTTAGCTGTTTTCAGTGAATAATGAATGAAAGAACCCAAGATTAAGACCAAGTGGCATAATTTTCATTTTTTACATAGAGCATTTGGCGTTGGCCCTAAATTTACTAAACTGATATTTTATTTTTTATTGTTTTTTATTACAAGTAGACACAGACATGTCTATTAAAAGAAAATATCCAATGTCTCATTATTATTATTATTATTATTATTATTATTATTATTATTATTATTATTCCTGTAGATTGTGAAGACCAATTTCGATTATCCATTCCCTGAAATACCTAGATCCAAAGTGTAATTGAATGAAAAAAATGTTTTAACCCTTAGATGCACACGTGGGGTCAAACATGACCCCATGGGTTGTTTTTCTAGTTGTTGTAAGTTGTAATATATTCATATTCCAGGTATTCCTCATAAAATATGTTCGTAACATGAGGCCATTTCTTTTTTCTTTTTCTTTTTTCATTAATTAAAAAAAATTGTATCACTACCCCACTCTTCCATTGGGGTCAAAAATGACCCCAAGCAGTTCCTATGGAATCTTCTATGAAACTTTCATTCTTAGCAACTCTGGCTGTCCCACTTACACATTTGATGGATCAGGAATTAATTTTTACACAGTAACATACATGATTTATAGTCAGGGCTGCACATAAGTGGTCTGCAGGTGCGCGTTCGGTGTCAAAATCAAAGTATTCCAAGAAATTCTGAGAACAAGCGCTTCTTTCACGGTGGAGGAACACCAAAGTAATTGCTTATGGAGCTTGCTTCTTCAACATCTTTAAGAGTTCTGAACAAATGTCTGTCCTCCTCCCGAACATCTAACGTAGGCAGCAGCAGTTTTAGATACGGGCGACACCGGCGGTTGTATTGCCCATCGTGGTGGGGGGCGGCATCACGGCCACCGCATAGTGGGAAAGGCATAGACACCGATCGGTTTTCTATCGCCCATTTGCCATTTGCTGGGAGTAAGGGCGCCCTCCGCTTGCGAAGTGCGCCTGCTGCTTGCAGCACAGGGAGGAGTGGGCGGAGCGGCAACTAAACACTGGCACATTCACAAAGGCACATTTGCAATGTAAACACTGTCACTAAGTAGAAAACCAGAGGAGTGATAAACCTCATGTTGTCAGGCCTGCAGGTT